AAAAGACCATCTGATAATTCTACAAAAAGCCTGCAGAAATGCCGCTCCCGTTTAGTTGAATCCTACTGTGAATGCTGCGCCCACATCGCCAATGGCAAAGCCCCTGTAATAGTATGAAGCCGGAAAGACTGGAAACCTGCCCAAAGACCGGAAGCCTCTATTTCAACCGTTTCTTCTGCATTTTCCGCTTTCCTCTGAGAACCAACATTCGGACTCCGCGATGATGCGCAGTGACGCGCCACAATTAAAATGGCGCCTCGTCCGCGCGTCATCGCGAAGTCTGAACGCTGCCTAAATCGATCACTAACGGACCAGCATTGGTAGAGCAAGGCAGTCGAAGTAGGTCTAATTTTGCCTCTTATGCCACCACCCCGTCTGATTGCGATGTTATAAACTATAGATTAGTCCACAGCAAACGAACCCGATTCAAACCCGGTTTCAATTCCCCAGGGAAGTTCCTCTTAGGTGGTTCGAACTTAGGCTGACTGTCATCCTCGTCGTCGGAATAGATCGACTTCTTCTCCGCAGTTTTCGTTTTCGAGCCCTTTGGTTGCGAGCTCTTCGGAGCCGCATCCGCTTCCTCATCAGACGACTGTTGATCACTAACATTTCTGTAACGGAAATCTAACATAGCACAGAGAACCAGAAAGTGGAAAAAACAGCTTTTTAATCTCATCGAAAAATTTTCAATCACCTGCGCCGTACGTTGCGAATTTTCGTTTTACTCGCAGTAGTCTCTTTCTCCTTGGCAGTCGTTGCACCCTCTCCATCGTCATTATGAAGTGATCCTTTTTGCATCAAACTTTGCTCTCCTCTAGCTAATTCATTCAACAGAGTGCGCCCAAAGCCAGCTTGCCAAGCTTTCTGATGCTCCACTGATGTTAGCTCTAGAAGAGAGAAAATTGGTGAAATAACTAACACTGTGAGAAAATGGTTACTCTAGCCAACCCAACCCTCTTCAATTGATGAATTTGCAATTTTACGAATTTTGTTGGTACTGAAGGTTCATTGCGCCCGCGCCTCACATGCTCCTTTGTCAACCACGGGACTCATCAGTGAGGTAGGGTTGACTCAATGAGGACAAAGTGGTGGGAGGAAGGGGATCGACGAAAAAGAGAAAGTGTTTGAAGCGGCTGGGAAAGTATAAGTATCGATCCAGCATTTTGAGCGT